CCACAACCTAGCATTGACAGCTAATAAGAATACAAACTGTTTTATGTGTATTATTTTATTCAATTTTAAACGATAATATACCTGTCAACCATGGTACTGCATTGCTAGTTTTCAGATAATTTGATATTATTTCATTACTATTTTTTAACTGGTTTTAATTATCATACTACAATTTTATTACTTTATAAAGTAACTATGTTGCAGTGCTACTATTTTAATATAGCTATTTTGTGGTTATTTTATAACTATTTTATTGCTATTTTACTATTCTTTTATTGCTATTTTATAACTATTTTATTACTATTTTTATACTATTTTATAAGAATTTTGAACTATTTTTTTACTATTTTGCTCGCTATTTTAAATTCTACTATTTTATTACTATTTTATCAGTATTTTATTCATATTTTTAAACTATTTTATTACTATTTTTGCAGTAATTTTATTACTATTTTTAGTTAATATACTGCAGTTGATCCACTATTTTATATGTATTTTCGACTATTTTTTACCTATTTTATGTATATTTAAAATCTATTTTATTACCAATATTTCACTTTACTTTATTATTTTATTTCTATTTTGCACTCTATTTTAAATATATTTTATCCTATTTTAAACCTATTTTAATCTGTGCTTCACCGATTCAGAAAAATAAAATCTATTTAAAATAGGCTATTTTTTGTTTCAAAAAAACCTATTTATAATAGCCATAATATACAATTAAAACAGAGTTCTAATAGGTTTAATATAGGATTTGTATATGTGATAGCAATATGATAGGGTTAAAAATAAAATAGCTTTTTTATAGGAATAAAATAGAAAGTAAAATAGGGATAAACTACTATTTTTATATACTATTAGGTATTTTATTGTTATTTTATAACTATTTTATTGCTACATTCTGACTATTTTATTGCTATTTTATGACTATTTTACTATTCTTTTATTTTTAAACTATTTTATTACTACTTTCTGACCATTTTATAACTATTTTATTAATCATTTTAGAACTGTTATGACTCTCGACTATTTTATTACAATTTTATTACTATTTTTATACTATTTTATAAGAATTTTGAACTATTTTTTACTATTTTGTTCGCTATTTTATCACTATTTTAAATTCTACTATTTTATAACTGTTTTATCAGTATTTTATTCATATTTTTAAACTATTTTATTACTATTTTTGCAGTAATTTTATTACTATTTTTAGTTAATATACTGCAGTTGATCCACTATTTTATATGTATTTTCGACTATTTTTTACCTATTTTATGTATATTTAAAATCTATTTTATTACCAATATTTCACTTTACTTTATTATTTTATTTCTATTTTGCACTCTATTTTAAATATATTTTATCCTATTTTAAACCTATTTTAATATGTGCTTCACCGATTCAGAAAAATAAAATCTATTTAAAATAGGCTATTTTTTGTTTTAAAAAAACCTATTTATAATAGCCATAAAATACAATTAAAACAGAGTTCTAATAGGTTTAATATAGGATTTGTATATGTGATAGCAATATGATAGGGTTAAAAATAAAATAGCTTTTCTATCGGAATAAAATAGAAAGTAAAATAGAGATAAAATAGGGTTAAAATAGTGTTGATTTTCGTAAGGGAGGTTTCTTAATTTAAGAAGGAAAGAACAACATATTATATTGCTATATGATATATTGCGTTAGTTCTTAAGAATGAAGCAACAACATTAAGCTATATATTATATTCATTTATTCATATAAGGATCTTCCCCTTCCCGTGTTATGTACGCATGCATGCATGGTCCCATGAGAACGAAGCAAAATTATGTTGATATAGTGCGTGAGTTAATTCTTGACTTAAGAACGAAGCAACAATATATTATATTATTGATATAAGGATCTTCCCGTTCCCGTGCCATGTATGTGGTCTCTTGAGAACGAAGGAAAATTATATTGATATATTGCGCGTCTCTTGAGAACAAAGGAACGTTTCTTAAGCGAACGTTCACAACATATTATATTAATATATTGCGTGATTTCTTAAGAACGAAGCAATTACAACATATTATATCATGATTGATATAAGGATCTTTCCTTTCCGCGTTATATAAATGTGGTCTCTTGAGAACGAACCAACAACATATTATATTGATATATTGCGTGTAGGTTTCTTAATTTAAGAAACAAACAACAACATATTATATTGCTATATGATATATTGCGTGAGTTCTTAAGAACGAAGCAACAACATATTATATTTATTTATTCATGTAAGGATGTTCCCCTTCCCGTGTTATGTACACAGCAAAAAATCATTTTCTTATTTTAAGAAAAAAAACCTTGTTTTTAAGAAAATTTTCTTGAAATAAGAAAATGTTTTCTTGGGAGAATAACAAGAAAATTTTCTTAATAAGAAAATTTTCTTAAGAAAATATTTCTTATTAAGAAAATTTTCTTGAGAGAAAATTCTTAAATTGAGAAAATATTTTCTTATTTTAAGAAAATATTTTCTCAAATCAAGAAATTGTTTTTCTTATTAAGAAAATTTTCTTGTTATTCTCCCAAGAAAAATTTTTTCTTGAAATAAGAAAATTTTCTTAAAATAGGAAAATGATTTCTTATTTTAAGAAAATAGTTTCTCAAAACAAGAAATTTTTCTTAAAAAGAATTTTCTTATTAAGAAAATTTTCTTGTTATTCTCCCAAGAAAAAATATTCTTGAAATAAGAAAATTTTCTTAACATAAGAAAGTAATTTCTTATTTTAAGAAATTAATTTCTCAAAACAAGAAATTTTTCTCAAAAAAAATTTTCTTATTAAGAAAATTTTCTTGTTATTCTCCCAAGAAAAAATTTTCTTGAAATAAGAAAATTTTCTTAAAATAAGACAATAATTTCTTATTTTAAGAAAATAATTTCTCAAATCAAGAAATTTTTCTTAAAAAGAATTTTCTTATTAAAGTGCCACTAACCCCCTAAATTTTCTTTTTATAAAATCAATAACCGCTATTTATGGAGTACAAAAATGAAAAAATTGTTTTAATCGGTTGAATTCTCGCTATTCTATGGCTTCTCAAAGTTTGAAAAATTGCCCTAAAATCGACGCCATTTTGTCCCACGAGCGAGCGCCGATGATCTGGGCTTGTGACGTCAATTGATGAACCGGCTGTTGTGTCAAAACAAGTGTTTACAGTGCTAGGCGAGTTTGTTAGGCATGCGAACGGCGAGAAAATGCCGAAAAGATGCGTTGTTGCCGGTTGTAGCAACATAGGAGATAAGGAAAAAGAATTATCGTTGCATGCAATTTCTTATTCGGGGGACGAACGGCCCGAAGCGAAAAAAAAACGAAAGAAATGGACTGACTTCGTAATAAGCCTCAAACGTGCAAAATGGACGCCGACGTCGTATTTAGTCATATGTTCTGAGCATTTCAAGCCTGAGGATTTTTTGCGACGGTTTTCCCATGTCGAAAAAGGTGAAAGCTTCGTTGGCAACAGATGGCTCAAAAGGGACGAGATTGGAATTTGTGTATTTCCAACAATCATGCCATCAGCTGACGCACAGAAAGTTTCAGACAGATACAAGAGAATGGTATGCTAATTTTGTATTTTATACATATTTGTGCGTAACTTGAATTTGTTTGACTAAACTGATTTAATTAATAAACATATCATTATATAACATGCTAACACTTAAACTTGATATACAGTAATTGGGTAAAGCTTATAAGAAAGACAATTTCGTTTAGTCTGTGAGAGCTTTCTTTGTTATTTCTGTCTTCAGCCTTGCAGATTTTTGTAATTTCCGTGTGCAATTTGATACAGTATTATACAGTGATATAATTCTCCATCTATGTCTCTTGCTACGCCTATGTTTTAGTGAAGTCAATATGCCCACTGACTATGACCCATAGGTGTGTATTTAAGGATGTCTGAGGAGGGTATCATATTTGACTGTCAAAATAATTATAGTGAAATATTGATCAATGCATACCATGTACCCATGTATATATATATCCATGTTTGATTTGTACAGATTATGTCGAAGAAATATTTCAAACTTTTCTCAATGTTACCAAAGATGATCTTAAAAAGGCAGCCAAGCAACTCAAAGAGTACGGTGTCTTTGCAAAGTGTTGCCCACTGCCTGTGGCCCATAGATAAGTTACCCAGTATGCTTGCTGTTAATATAAATCTTTTTGTTACTGTAGTTTCACTACTACGTTGTTGAACAGAGCCAAAAGAAGTCTAAAGGAGCACCAAAATGCAGGGCATGTGAACAACCACCCATGAAAGGACACAAGTTTGTTACAGACTGTCCAAGGAATGAAAGGAGCACATCATAGTGTATTATATGGATAAGGCATTTGAGGAGGGAGGGCATATTGGGAGGTGTTTTTTTTTTCAGAAGGGCATATTAGGATTATTCAGGATGTTGGGGATTTATAATAGAGATTGGGGCTTATATTACAGCAGGAAGGGTCTTAACAGAGGGGAAATATTTGGAAGGGTGGTGCTTATTAGGGATGGAGCTTACTAGGGAGGGTGGTGCTTATTAGGAGATGACTCAATAGAGTGGGTACTTTATAAGGAGGGTAGTGCTTATTAGGGGGGGGGCTAATAGAGAGGGTGTTTATTGGGAGGGTGGTGATTATTGTGGAAGGGGCTTAAAAGGGAGGGGGCTTAATAGGGAGGGTGCTTTATAGGCAGGGTGGTGATATTTGTTAAATAAATTATATTATTCACTACTTGTATCAAGTTTGCTCTACTTTACTTGTTTTCTATCCCTGATGAGCACTAGTCAAAACTGATTTATGTTGATACCAAATATGTTCCATATATAGGTTTCATTAGAGTATAATATTTAAATAGTACAGTAAAACCCTGCTTTACAAAAGAACCAGTTCAGACTAGAATTCCAAAACAGCTTCTTATTTTATCGAAGAAGCAAAAAATTAAACATCAATTAAAGAAAATAAGCTCTTTATAAAGTAATGTATACACTGTTATTTTGTAAACATCTACGGTAGGTTCTGATACGATGGGTTTTACTGTATGTTAGCTTAGTCATTAATTTATTCAAATATTTAAATCTGGTAAATGATTCATCTTTTGTGAGAGGGAATGTCTTCCTTATTGCATGGTATGCACATGCAGCAGTGGGATTCTTGTTTTCCAATTACACCATACACCATCCTTGTAAACTTTCTGTATGCCACACTATGTAAAAACCTAGAAGAAATGAACAACTTTATCATAAGTAATCGTATGTAGACAAATGCAAAAACTATTTCAATAAAATAGTATTTTATATTACAAAGAACAACCCAAACTATAATAGCTATATATAGAAACTATACATACATATAGTTCCTGATTTTGGTTACACCAACATTCATTTTTGAGATGTTGATGCTTATTGGAGACACTGGTCATGGAACAGTGTGTACCCCCATAAATATATCCCTGAAAGAGGATAAAGCTCTATATGTTGAACAGTCTGTTTAGTCTTTACATTTTTACACAAATTTTGGAAACAATAGACCTTACCATTTATTCACTATTGACCAAATGGCCTCGTTTCCATGTTTGCCTATTTTCAGGGCTCAAAATAACGGGAGATAGGTCTCCGGTCAACTTGATTTTAGCTCGGTCAAAATCTGTTTTTGACCGGTTATTGATACACTTACACTAACAGTGAAACAAAATATTAAAAACTTGTTTCGATATATCATAGTTTTAATTCAAGACGTCAGCAATCACATTGGATGGGATGAAAGTGTGGCCGGTCAATATGACCGGTAAGGTAAAAAAATGACCGGTCAAGAGGTATTTTTGGCCGGCATTGTCCGTTGACCGGCCGTTATTTTGAGCCCTGTATTTTAGCATGGCAGGCGCACATGAAAGTTAAATGTTCATGTTTCCTGCACAAGTTTTTCTCTCATTGATCTTAAGTCCAATCACAAGCTTATTCTTTACTCTCTTATGCACAAAACATGAGTTTTAATATCACATGAAAACGAGGCCATTGGGTCAAAAGTAAATAAACGGTAAGGTCTATTGACTTTCAATATAGGTAACTCTCCCATTAATGTTTAGTAACATTGTCTGGTTTTTTAGACAGAGTAAGATAAATATGAGCACACTATTGAGACACAGTGCAGCTTCCAACATTCCTCTCAATGGTCTATCATTATCTAGGTGAAATATGAAACAAATGGTATTCTGTAATTGTACTCTGCCTGATACTGCTGATTAGGGAAAGTCCATGAACATATAGTTCCGCATGTTCCTTTGTCAAATAAAATTGCCTGGTGTTAGAGAGATTTGTAGGTAGGGTGCATAGCAGCTTATTATTAAATGGTTAAGTAGCAACATTCCAGCTCACAACAGTATAGTATAGTATAGTATAGTATAGTATAGTATAGTATAGTATAGTATAGTGTATAGTATAGTATAGTATAGTATAGTATAGTATAGTATAGTATAGTATAGTATAAGCAAAATTTGCGACTTACCACTCATAAAGTTTTGCAGTTTCATGCAAACGCTTCAATATCTCGTCTTTAACGATCTCGTTCGACCTCATGTCCACTCCTCATCAGCGACAGGATCATCAACCCAAGCATAGCTGCATAGGCATGATATAAAGGCATCATCATCGCTTGAAACCAGATATATCGGCTTCTAAGCCTTCTATCCCTACGTTTTGTCATATTCTGATAAATAATCGTTCCCTGATGCGAACGAAGAAGCCTCGGAAGATGCATCCGTCGAAGACACTGCAAAAAGATATAAAAAACCGCGAATTATTCTTCGAAATTAAAGCTTCTTTGTAATGGTGTTTACAAGGAAGCTTTGCATGAGTTCACCAATTGACGTCACACATTCCTCTCTCACCAGTCTCCCAAAACTCGGTCGTGGAACAAATGTGTGCAAACTTTGAGAAGCCATAGAATTGCGAGAATTCAACCGATTAAAAAAATTTTTCCAGTTTTGTACTCCATAAATAGCGGTTATTTATTATATGAAAAAAAAATTTAGGGGGTTAGTGGCACTTTAAGAATGTGTTGTTTGGGTGTTTATATGTACAGGTATACTCAGGTGAATATTGTTTTTGATGTTACTCTGAGTGTATATGCAGTTAGCAGAGCATTGGACTAGTATCCCGAAGGTTGCGGGTTCGATTCCCGCCATGGTCAGGCTAACTTTTTAGCCTGCCCGGTGTGGATATACACTCAGAGTAACATACAAAACATCAAATTATTGTCAATTTATACAAGTTCTTTTTTCAGCCACTGTTACACAACTAGGTGTAGTTCTGATTGCACAGCAATGTGTTGTAGCAAATTTAAGTTCTCCTGAAGACTTGAAGCAGTAATTTTTCAACTCTTTCCACATGACAAGCAATATTATCTGACAAACCGTTTGTTCAAAGTCCATAGATTTCTTTATAATGCACATTAAACACTGTTCCAAACACATCATGCAAATGCCACTGGAGATCCATCATATATACATCCTTATACAGCTAGTAATCTGTAAAAGTTTACTTACATATTAAGAATGTAAGCATCACTCTAAGTATTATATGTGGTGTATACAGAAATATAAATGAATTTATTAGCGATTTTCAGCAGCCTTTCGCGCTTGTATTCGACTTTTCTGCTTTGCTTGGGGGACAACCTTAATTGAAATAGCTATATATACAAAATTGCAAGAACAATAGACCTGGAGACTTGCTTGCTAATCTGAGTCACTCCTCAGTTACCTAAGTTAACTCCTTAGATTAAAAAGCATAGACGGATTTTGTGGGGCGGGGGGGGTGTGCGCTCCCCCCCCAATATTAGCTATAACTCCTCCCCCAAACAAAATGACCACCCCTCCAAAAAACTATTTCAACACCCCCCCCCAACATTTGGCATAATAAAAAATAATTAAATAGTCCACTCCAACATGCAGAGTGTTGATGATATAAAATAAACGTAGGAGTACACTCAAATAGGAAAAGAAGACAGTGCATTCACTGGTTTATTGGAGCAATTGTAAAGTTTTGAAACTCTATTATCTCCCCTGAATAGAGTTTGCAGTGCCTTCTCATGCAAATAGCTTGCTCGGAAGGAAGATTTGGATTTTTTACGAACATTATTTTTAGTTTTTAATGGTTTTAGAAAATAGACTTGCCTAGATTTAATCTTTATGCCCCAATTATTATTTACATCGGAGTTGCATCATAAAATGTATTCGGATTCAAACGACACAATGTCAATGACTTTATAAAACTGGTAAAAGCATAATTGTGTATTGGCCTATTAGGTTCATTTTACGTTTAACACTCCCAAGTCTCATCAGACAATCGGACATGCCAAATCCATTGATATGACCACTTCAAAAAACTTTTTCAAAGCTTGGAATCATGATTTTTTTTAAATTTCTCCACGGATACTTTGTTTTCTGCTCTCTAGACTCCCCCTCACATCTCTAGTGCTCCACCTCTAGAATATAGACCTTACTGGGGTATGGTGACACTTTGTGATGCTTCAGTCACCTGCTCACGGCTCCCTCCCCCCCCCCCTAAAATTTCTGGCACCATGCACCACAGTAAAACATATGAAAATCTGTCTATGTTAAAAAGATAGACGAGTATTAATTTTATGACTTAGTATTTATAATATAATTCATTTATAATATAATTCATTAATATAATTAATTTAATATTATTTATAATATAATATCATTCTTATCTAATACAAAGGGTTTATTGTTTAATGTTATAATCGGCCAATCACCTGTTCATATTGGTAGAAGACGAAAGAGGGAGTATTAAACTACATATGTTTTATATAAATTTTATTAAGCAGAGACATGGCTGTAGGCAGATACAGATGTCCTGGATTCAGTTATCATTTTCTTGTGACAAGTGCCCAGTAGACTATTATCCCTTATTCATGCACCAAAGCCGCACTATTAAGAAATGTAATAATTTGTCCAATACCATATCACACAGTTACTGACAGTATAGTTTACTTCCGGTTGCTGTTCGTGGTTCTTTAGACCAGCTGTACAATGTATTTATATGGAAGCTGGGCTGGACCGCTTAGCGGGACAGCCCGGTAAGCAAGAGCTTACTGCATTAGGTATATTTATCTAGAAAAAATTATCATGTGTTTATATGGATCCACAAGCAGGCTGGCTCTGATGCCACAATGTTGCTTATTGGGATGAAAATTTCTCCACATATACACTCACAAGCAGGCTGGGCCAGGATGAATGTTCAAAGATGCCGAGCTGCAAGCTATTTTTAACAACTGTCAAAACAATGTCAACATAACAAAATTGTCCCAGCGAGCAGGATGGCATTTTCTCATATAAACACAATCTTGAACTGTATTAGTGATGCACCGATATATGGAAATTCACAGATATTCTGATAACTGATAATAAAAGACCAATACTTTGCCGATACCAATAATACATGTCATTTCACGAAATTCAAAGATGACTGATACACCAATATGGATATCGGTACATCAGTAGGCGAGTTACCCGGCAAGGTGAGTTACTCACTCAGGCAGGACAAAAAAGCAGTCTATTTATATGAAATCAAGTTACCCATTTATTGCTGCGCAATAACAAAATACAAACACAATTTGGATCATTCAAAAGGTTTAAAAAACATGATTACAAAATAGGCAAGAATAAGCTGCTAGAAATAGAGGAAAGCTATAAACATACCTAATGATTTGTATGTATTTTTGGGCTATTATTTTAAATGAAAGGCATATACATTCTATCTAGGGTTGCAGAGTTTCCCTGGTGAAGTATAGTAAGTCGGGAAAACTAAACATTCTCTACAGTAGCCAAGTTACCCGGCAAGGCAAGTAGGAAAATCCTCTGGCATTAGACAGAGTAAACAATAAAGTAGGCTGCAATTCAGTTATTCAGCTATCTATACACTGAAAATATCAGATTAAATGCTGTCATTCTCCTGTAATTCCAATCTTTATTCAAGTATTAAAATGCTAACAGATCTTCAAAAACATCCGTATGTATAATATCTTATTTCATATCACTATATAGCCTTTAATCTTGACATTTGAAAAGTCTAGCAAAGTGCCAATGTCAAAGGCAATTTAATATTGTCAAATTGTTAATATTAGTGCGTAAATTAGAATGGAATTCACAATAATAGATATGAATTTATATTTTAATCTTTCGTCCCTTGCCTGAAAGCAACATTTGCATGTTTTATATGCAAAACGAACGCGGCAAATTCAAACATTCAATGGAATATTTTCACACTTCGCTCAAGTAAACAGTCATAATCACTACATTATTTCGCAATGAATCTGTTTAAATAACAAGTCAAATATACAAATAGTCTTACCTGTGGTATCTGAGCAACATTTCAAGGACTTTCTGATGCTTTTCCCATCGTTATTTGCCATTTAAATTGCCTTGAAGGCGCCTTTTTAATGCCATGGATATTTATATAAAATTTTTCATAAAAATGTAAAACGACGCTATCCCGCGATGCTCCGCGTTCTAAA